ATGGTAGAACGAATCGTCTTCTTTCTTTAATAATCTAATGAAACGTCAGAGCTTCCGCGCTACGCGCGGAGGAAGGGGAACCTGATCTAAACAAGGATTAAGAGTCGAGGACGGTCGAACGAATCGTCTTCTTTCTCTAATAATTTGATGAAACGTCAAAGCTTTCGCGCGGGAGCGGGGAAACTCCCCCTCCCTGCACTCACTAAGGAGCGCGCTCTGTAAGTGATTCGCACGCTTTGCGTGCTCAGTACCACCCCCCCCCCTTAAAATGAAATCCTGGCTACCCGCTTGCTCTCTCCCCCCCCCCCCCTCCTCCCCCCTTTCTCTCTCTCTCACTCCCCTCTCTCTCCCTCCCTCTCTCTCTCTCCCTCCCACTCTCTCTCCCTACCCCTCTCTCTCGCCAACCGAATGTCTCAGAGCAATACATTCAAACCATCCTTAGAGACACAGATTCCAAGTGCAAAGTTCTCTTGTGTCGTAAGACCATCAATATGGGAACAAAACATCTTTGTTCATAGCAAAGCAAAATAGTTCATCATCCACACCCAGTATATCACATGAGATTACACAGTTTCAATGTTAGTTTTTTAAAGTTGTTCTGCTATGGTTCTTTCTTTGTGTTAAATTGTTAATGTTTGATTTGATTTCATTTTTTTTTTATTGCAGGAGATGATGCAATTAGCCTATTTATCATGAAAAGCTTGATTCATTAAACATCTCAGCGAGATTTCAAAGTAAAAGTTAACTGATCTCAAAATAGTTTTATGGCATAATGATCACAATAATGGGGACGCTTGAAGTCGAAAGTGTATTTTTGTTCATCTATTCATTTTAGGTTTCATGACATGAAGTAGTCACTTGAATATTGACGGTAGACACATTATCTTAGTCCTGGAAACTTGTATTACGCAGCAGAGGCAACTGACTCGGGGTGTCCCCCCCCCCCAACTTTTTCAACTACCCCTAAAGTGCCCCTTTTTAAAAAGGAAAATTGCCCCTTTTAATTCTAATAGGTGCCCGTCCACATTCTTATAATTGCCCCTTCAACAATGACAATTGTCCCTATTCAAATCTGAGAGGTGTCCCTTTTTACTTTAACAAGTGCTCTTTTCCTATGTAATAAGTGCCCATTCCCCTTCTGATAAGTGCCCCTTTTCATCTATGATGAGTGCACCTTTTCTTTCCTAATAAGTGTCACTTTTATTTTGTAACATGCCCCCTTTTCTGTCTAATAAGTGCCCTTTTTCCTTCTGATAAATGCACTTTTTTTTTTATAAGAACCCCTGCCTTGCCCTTCTCATATCTCTGATAAAGGCTTCTATCAAAATCTTATAGGTGCCCCTTTCCATTCGACAAATACCCATTTTCATTTGTAATGAGTGTCCCTTTCAGGTACGAGAATTGTCCCTTACCACCTCTGATAAGCGTTCCTTTACCTCTTTTAATTGCCTCTTTTGAAATCTGAGAGGTGTCCCTTATACTCTTTGACAAGTGCCCCTTTTATTTTGACACGTAACCCCTTATCCTTTCCGATAAGTGCCATTTCCTTCTAACAAATGCCGTTTTTCTTTTGAGATATGCACCCCTTTCCGTTCTCATAAGTGCCCAATTTTCACATCTGATAATTTTTTACTTTCACACTTGCTTCTTTTCTTTTCTAATAAGTGTCCTTTTCCCTTTGGATAAGTGCCCACTTTTTCTTTCATAAAAAATGTGCTCCTAATTTAAAGCGACTAAAGCAAATATTTATTTTTATTTCACCCAAAGCTTGCTAGCTACGCTTGCTCGCGTTTAAAGTTGATATAATTATGTTTCTTGCTAAGGAGCGTTTGAGGCCTTCATGATTAGATTGTGCTAAAATAAAAACCCATTCTGGATTGTTTTCTTCCCTCTTTCTAAGATATAATTGTTTGCACTGCGACCTCAAAAATCGCTGGCTTCGCTCACTCGCAAATAAATATTCAGACCATCACACCCAACTGGAAAGTATGATCTTAAACAATATAAAGAGAAAAACAAATATTGAAATCATCCCTGATAATGTAATCAATATGTAGGAGTATATTATCAAGTCTAAAATTGTATATTCTGGTTAGATGTTTCCCTTTGTAGGTGCCCCCTTTTTTCTAGAAAGTATCATTTTTTGTTGTCCCCCCCCCCCCCGCCCCTAATTTAAAAGATGCTCCATCGCCCGTGTTAGACAGCCCACATGCGCCGGAATTAGGGGGAGGGGGTAGAGGGCACTAGCCCCCAACCAAAAGAGTGTGGGGGGGGGCAAAACGCATTTACCCCCCCCCCCCAAAAAAAAAAAAAAAAAAAAAAAATAGTAAAGGAGTAAAGATGGTTTGTATTCTTGACCCAAAGGAACATAACAATAATAAAAACCTGAATTAAATCACATTGAAAATTCCATTCAAAGAAAAGGAAAGTTAACAGGAATTAAATTTCCTAAACATTCCGCATGCCACCTATATTGTCAATGGAGGTTTTTATAATAGCAGTACGCGCATATTTTGGGAATGTTGTGAAAGGATGGGAAAGCGTGTTTTTTTTTTTTTTAAAGGGGTGAGAAGACATAAGCCCCCGAATGCTTGGGTACTGATGGGGGGGGGGGGGGTCATACCGTTTTATGCGTTTGTTTGAAAATTAGAAATTCCCAAATTTACAGTCAGACGAAAAATATGCTTATTTAGAAGCCTTCGTGTCAGGGCCTGCAGAACGGCTGGGCTCGGGGGCTCGAGCCCCCCTCACTTTTTGAATAAGTATGTTACAGAGAAAAGAAAGAAAGAGAGAGAGAAAAAATAAGTGACCTGCCAATGTCACAAATGAAGTATCAAAATATGCTCATCTGACCGTAATTAAAAGCCTAAAACCAGGGGCGGATCCAGCCGGCAGCAAGAAGGGGGGGGGGGGCAAGTCTTGCGCCGACTCAGACGGCCGGTGAATAAGCGGGGGCGGTTGAGCGCACACATATACATGTAATATATATTTTTTGGGGTGGTCCAGTTTTTAAAGGAAAAATGTTGTGCCGACTCAGCCGGCTGGTGAATAAGCGGGGGGAGGGGGTGTGCATTTAGAGGGGGACCATTATTTTTTTTTGGGGGGGGGCAAAATTAAAAAAATATATATATTAAATTAGGGGGAGGGGGTCAGGGCGGGGGGTCAATGGGGCCGCTTTTGTTTTTTTCTTTGAATAAGGTAAGATTTACATTACTATCCTATATTTTTACCGTTTTGGGGACTAGGGGGGGGGGGGGCGGCCGGGAGAATCGATCGGCCTGTGGATCCGCGCCTGCCTAAAAGCCCCGAGCTTCCAGGGGCTCTGCCCCCTGGACCCCACCAAGGGCCCTAAGGTGGGCCCCTGGATGCTCATCTGACCGTAGTTAAATATCTAAAAATAACCTCTGAGCTTCAGGGGGCTCTGCACCCTGGACCACATCAATGGCCTTAAAGCGGGCTCCTGGATGCTCATCTAACTGTAATTAAATACCTAAAACCCCTGAGCTTCCGGGGGCTCTGCCCCTTGGACTCCCCGCCAATTAGTGACCTGCCAGTGTCACAAATAAGGTATCTAAATATGCTTATCTGACCGTTATTTAATGCTTAAAAACCCTGTGCTTCCAGGGGCTCAGGCCCTGGACCCCACGCCAATTTACGCTCTATCCTATCGTTAATATCCACTTTGAAAAATGTTCCGCGGGGCCTGCATGTAACTTGTAAGAGTGGTTGTGATGCAGATATTTCTACTGCCCCCCCCCCCCCTTTCAAATGTTTTTGCTCATTACGCCACTGCTCCTCGAAGGTGAGCCCCTGGAATGTTTGCCCCCTCTCTATGTTCTCTGTGTCTATTTTTTTCTTCTTTTTGACAACTCGATTATTGCAATTACACGTCTGCAAACGGCCATTATGTGCAATTTATTATAAGATAAGGCGTTTTCATTATGTTTCCCCCCGAGTATTGGCAATTGTTTGAAATGCAGTAAGGGTGCTATGAACGGTAATTCTGATTGCATTCGAGTTATTGTACCTTGAGAACAATTATTTTGTGACTAATTAATGAGGAGCTGGTATTTTTTCTGCTCAGACGAAATCTATTTAAGGCGCTAAACCAACTTAATCTCTAAACGTGGGCGGATAAGAGGATTGTTTTCTTATCCTCCAGAGATTCCAGACAATACCTACATGGATAATGGTGTTGAAGATCTTTATAAAGGCTCTTTACATTAACGATTAAATTGGCTACTTAGGATACCTGCATGTGTTCGACTTGAGGTTATATTTAACACAAACCATAGACTGTAAAAGCGGATTTACTCATTCAATTCTTCTTAGCACTTTTAATTGACCTCTGGGGTTTCTGGAGTTCAAGTCTTTCACAGCTGAAGACAAAACCGAACGGCCTGAATAATGGATTTATTTATCAGAACCGCCCCATCTTTCTACATTACACGGAAAGCAAGCAGTGGATGGAAGTTGACTGCCTGGAGATACACGGTGACGATTTGCATCAATATTCAATTGCTTATAGTACCAGCCTCAAAATTTACGTTAATTTATCTTACCTTCAAAGAAAGGACATTTTCTGCCTCTGGGTTTTTTCACGAGAGAAAACTTTTGACTTTGTGACTGCTTGTAAAGATCACGATCACGATCACGGAATCACGTTTTGAGTACTTTCGTAGAACACGCTATCTATCTACTCAGTGTAGGTTACAGTAATATGTGACCCAACATTTCGCTGAAATACCATTGCAAAAAACGAGCAGTGATGGTATACATGTAATTATTGACGCAGAATGTTAACAACATGAAATGTAAATTGTCACTAGCATGTGGTGTTAATACTGCGCATGCCAATCGCCTGCAGTGAGCGCCAATTATCCGAAGTGAAGAATCGGTGAGTGAAGCTGAATCATTCGTAGTTTTGTAAGAAGAAATAACTAATATCGAACCGAGAGTCAACTTATTTACCGGTCGCCTGCAGAATAGAAGGATTCAATATGACAACGAACGTGACCCAAAGCAAAGATGTGGGCATTGCCATTGCTGATATTTGTAGAGGTACCATCATCATCTTTCTCTCAACAATATCAATCATTGGTCATTCTATCAACATACGAGCTATTCATCACGTGTCAAGCCTGGGCATGAGTGGCGCCACCAAGCTGCTTTACAGAGCCTTGTCTGTGGCGGATATCCTGACCTGTACAGCACTCATCTTCGGAGTCAGTATTGGATTGACTGGAGCAGAAACAGTCCACAGCATTGAGATCGTTTGTAAGCTGACTGGTTTGTTGATGACTTGTGCTCCAGGCACCAGTGCTATCTTCATCCTCCTGCTCAACGTTGATCGCTTCATCTATATAACAAGACCCCTCTTGTATCATTCCATAGTGACGACACGAAAGACTGCCATTGGAATTGGCATTGCCATTCCCTATGTGTCGGTATCTGTGGCTTCTTCTTCCTTTATCCACGACAAGGATCTCTCCGTCATACGCCACCATGAGTCCATCTTCGTTTGCAAAGTGGCATTCTCTGAGCCCTCGTTCCTTCCCAAAACACTCGTTATGTTTTCCTTTAACATGTGGCCGGTGGCACTGATTCTTATTGTCATTTATTGCAAAATCATCATGATATCTCGCCAGCATATAGCTAGAATCAACGCTCATCGACAGGTGTTGAAGATAGCCCAGCAACCTAGAGGCAACAGCAATGCGTCAGGTGAAAAAGATGTAGTACGATCTGCGGCGCCAAACTTTGACTCGTCACTCACGCGTTCCTTTCGACAAAACATCCGTACCCTCTGGACACCGTTGTTGATCACAGGATGCTACCTCCTATCATGGATACCATTCTCTGTTTTAGAGGTTTATATTGCTGTGACAAAATCAACTGACCTTCTTAATGGGAGTCTTTATATAACTGTTGCAACTGCCGCGGCGTTGAACAGTAGTGCCAATCTTCTTGTTTATTACCTGTCCAGGAAAGACCTACGACAGGCTGTCAAACGGGTTTTATGCAGACGAGAGAACTAATCAAGACAAACAGTGGAGTAGTGCCAAAAGAACACGGGGGTACTCCCACATAATCGAACGGGGAAAGGAGGGGATGGGGGGGGGGGTAGAAAAGGGAAAAGCTAGGACCCCCCCCCCCTGCTTATCAGGGGCTATGTATGTAGATTGGCGAGCCTTCCTCCTCGGCCCCCATTATAATGTCAGTGTATACCCAAAGGCTATACATTTTAGGTCTAACCTGTCATTGAAAACTGTTATAGTGCAAAGAGTTTCTGTTTGTCTACATTGTTATGCTTATTTTAATATCTTCAGTAAAGATAAGGCATTTGGAATAATTCCTATTAAGAATTACTTTTTTTTTAATCGGTAAAGTGACGAGCAAAAATTACTTTCCTTTCTTGAGATAAAGATTTCCCCCCTCTTTTCTTTATTTGAATGAATTGTAGGGGATCAAAATTGATTACGCACAAGTTAATATTTTTTTAGAACTATGTCACTGTATTACTTTTGTATTGGCCAAATTGATTGCCGATATCATGGTGTCAATTACATGAAAAATAGTAAACTATTAACCACTACGTGACGTGGATCAAATTGTGCAATTAAGTGCTGGTTATAGAATGTTTGCCTATAATTCAACCAAAAAAACATTGTTATGATTCAGCCAGATTATGCCTTTGTGATTCTTGAATCTAGACTTCCCCTCTGATATAATTTAAATATGACCAACACATAGAGTTACTAGGTTTAGGGTTATGATTAGGTTTTGAAATAGGATTACGATTAATGATAGCTTTAGACAAGTATTTAAATCATAAAAGCTTTGGTGAGTCTTTGATCAACCAACGGACGTCTGGTGTAATTTTCAGTTTCTCCGCTGTGCTCTTTACTTTTTAATTTTCAATGATGTACATTATTTCTTTTTAAATCACTATGAATTATAACCTATTCTAACATCACATTTACATATTAGTCTGTGTCTTCATGTAGGCCTCGATATTGCTTTATTTAAATAGACTTAATCTGGAAGACCCCCCACCCCCCCCCCCCCCAAAAAAAAGAAGAAAAAAAAAAAGAGAAGAAGCTTGATTTGGAAATATCAGCAATGTATTTTCACTCAACAGTAATACGAAGTCATTTTGAAACTTTGATGACCGTATAGAGTAGTGATTAAATTATTATTTCTCTTTTGACCTTGCCCCTAAGGCATAGAATTTTCTAACTATATAACATTATATAATTTATGTAATATTAAAAAGAAGAGAGAGAGAGAGAGAGAGAAGAGAGAGATGTCGCAAGACTTTTTCTCGACTAGTTTGGCAATGAGAAAGACGAACCAATACTAGAAAAGAAAGAATTATCCTACTCTCTTAAAAAAAAAAAGTGAATTTTCACTCTATTTTCACTTTCTTGGGAGTGACGTCCGTGATCACTTGTTTAGGAGTAAAATCGATTGATTTTAGAGTGCTCTCTAAGAAGAAAAGAGTGAATGTTCACTCTATTTTCACTACATTTTCACTCTCCAGAGGATTGACGTCCGTGATCACTCGATTTTTTTTTAGAGAGTAGGTTTTAAATGCGCCACAAGAGTTTTGCAAAAGGGCGTTAATTAACCCCCCCCCCCTCACCAACATATATTTCTAACTGGGGCACTCCTTTCCCCCACTCCCCAGCGACGCCCCTGATCTAGTAGACATTACTGATTTCAACATTATAGACTTTTCGCTTTATGCGTACCTGTAAATCTGCTTTGGTGGGCCTGCATTGGGAAATGGTTAGAATATCAGTTTCAATTATACTGTATCGTTCATTTGTATATTCCTTAGAAATCACGATCGGAATACGAAATACAGCATTGTCATGTTGGCACATTATTTTATGTGTGACGCACAAGGCTATTCAAATTATTTGAAAGTAGTTTTCGATCGTGCTCGTTTCTTTTCACCGTCCCTGTCAAGAATATGCAACGGAAAAGTATTATAGTATTATGTTGCACATAAAGTAGGGGGAATTCCTTACCGTTTTTTTTTCATGAAATGATCGTGACAAAATAATTTATTCTTGATAGATTTTAGCTTCACGGAACTTTATTGATCAATCTTGACTTAGTCTATGACTCTTTAGAGTGATCAATACAATTCTAAGGAGATATACACTTTATCAAGAATAAACCATATTGTCACAATCATTTCATGAAAAGAGATAAGAAATATTGTTCATACTTTGTACTCAACAGTGTAGATCTTCGCTCATATTATATCATGTACAAAAAATATAAAAAGTAACATCAACTCGATGTGATAATTATCTTGCCGTTCACATTTTATAATGTGTCGTAATTTAAAAGTGTATGTATTTTTCTGGTTTTACAATTTTGTAAAGGCCAATTGAACCTTTTCTTCCGTGAGCTATATATTAAAAGAAAGCTACAGTGTGCTTTCACATGTAGGTAATGTTTGTTTCACTGACTATTTACGTGTAGTGATGAGATTAATGGTAATGGTGATAATGATGGCGGTGGTGGTTAAGATGATGATGTGGTGATCGATGATGATGTGATTGAGGTGGTAGTACGGTAGTTGCAGTGACGATGATGGTGTTGGTAGTTGTGATAATTACCCCCTCCCCCCCCCCCCCCACTCCGGGAACGCATGCGTGTTCCCAAAATCTCCGGCTCGTCACAAAAGAAAAAGGTCTACCCGTATTGACTTTACACACCGGACTTATGCTGAAAGGGGGAGGGGGGTGTAAAAAGGCTCGTATAACAAAAGAAAGAGGTCTACCCGTATTGACTTTACACACCGGACTTATGCTGAAAGGGGGAGGGGGGGGGGGTCGCTGAGAACACGCATATAATTATGCGTACCCTAAATAACACTGAGTGGGGGGGGGGGGGCGGGGATAATTATGATGCTGCTGATGATGATGATGGTGATAATGATGGTGATGATAATACTGATGATTGTGATTATGGGGATAATGACTGTGATGATGATGATTCTGATGATGGTGATGACGATGATGGTGATAATGATGGTGATTATGATGATGGTGATAATGACTGTGATGATGATGATCATGATGATGATGATGATGGTGATTAGATGGTGATGATAATACTGATGATTGTGATTATGGGGATAATGACTGTGATGATGATGATGATGGTGATAATGATGGTGATGATAATACTGATGATTGTGATTATGGGGATAATGACTGTGATGATGATGATTGTGATGATGATGATGGTGATGACGATGATGGTGATAATGATGGTGATGATGATGATGTTGGTGATAATAATGATGATTATGATGATGATGATGATGATGATGGTGATGATGATGGTGATAATGATGGTGATGATAATACTGATGATTGTGATGATGGGGATTACTGTGATGATGATGGTGGTAATAAGAATGATGGTGATGATGAGGATGATTGTGAATGAGATTCAGGGGAGGAAGAGGTTGCAAGAACCCTCATGTTCGTGATCTTTAAAGATGAATTATGTCTCTAAAATAAATGAAATAAAGTAACAGATCACTACAAGACTAAATATAAACGGAAATTATGGAGTAAAAATATATTATACGATAGGTATTTTTGCTTCCTTTTGTGTGTGTGTGTGATTCGTACGCCAAAATGAGGGGCCCCGTGAGATTTGTAAGCTCATTAATACTAGGAGTATACCATACGCCAAATGATAATTAGCCAGAAACAGATATTTGAAAGAAAGACTCTAGAGAAATCAAACCAAGAGTGATTTCATTGTATTAAATACCCCCCCCCCCCCACAGTCAGGATTACGTAATACGTCATTGACATTAAATTCAATGAGACTGGGCGTTTTGAATCGCTTGAGGTCGATTAATAGATCGTCCTCGTAATCCGTACTGTATCAGATCACAAAATCATCTTGCGTCACGTTAACAGACATTAATCTTAGCCTACACCAGGGGCGTACGCAGGGGGGGGGGGGGTTGGGGGTTAAACCCCCCCCCCTTTGTTTTTGTTTTTGTTTTTTTTGTGTTTTTTTTTAATTATAAAAAAAAAAAAAAAAAAAAAAAAAAATTATGCCCACGGCTAACCTAAAAAAAGGTGATCTTACCCCCCCCCCCCCAATGAAGAAAAATGTCAAATTTTCAAATTTCGAGAACCCCCCCCCCCCCCCCCCAAAAAAAAGTGTCCGCCTACCCTGATCTATGATTTATGATTCATGATTTATCTTGACATTCTGTTGGCAGATTATTGAATTATTTCGTATCTTTTCTTCAATGCATGCTGATTTTTATTCATTTAACATACTTTTTTTGTTTATCATTGTCTAAAATTTGAGATAATTAAATAATTCAACCTCACAAGTTAGCCGCTGATGAAATTATTAAACCAATAACATATTTGATAAATGAATCAATCAGAGATGGGGTTGTGCCTGACGTATGGAAAATAGCGAAAATTATACCGTTGCATAAGAAGGGTGACATGCAAGTATAACCCAGATAATTATAGGCCCATTTCGTTATTGCCATGCATCTCATAGCTTCTTGAAAGAATGATACAGAAACAACTCATTCAACATTTAAATGTAAACGATATTATATCTGCTCACCAATCTGGTTTCAGAAAGAAACATTCAACGTGTACTGCGCTTGTCAAAGTGACCGACGACTGGTTAAACGCAATGGACCAGGGACAGTACACAGGGTCAGTCTTTGTTGATCTACGAAAAGCCTTTGATTTGGTGGATACTGAGATACTGTTACAAAAGCTCTTACTAATAGGCGTCACATGTGAATCGCTTCAATGGTTCAGGAGCTATTAGGTTGATCGAAAGAGAGTGACTTGTATTAATGATGTAGATTCTGATGCATTACCATTGACTGGTGGGGTGCCGCGGGGCTCTCTACTAGGCCCCTTATTGATGATATGCCTCATTCTTTTGAAAAATGTAAAATACATCTATATGCTGATGACACTGTGTTATATTACTCACATAATAATCCGTCTGTTGT